GGGACGCAGAGTCACACATTTCAGGTGCAATTTTAAATCTCATTTTCTTTGTTTACCCAGCTATAAAACAAAAAGAATTTGTGGGGAAAAAAACATGTTTTTAAAGCAATTTTAAAGCCCCATTTGAAAGGTGTGTGGATGAAACACCATGTGACTTTGTTTTGGCCATTTCTGTAAATAGATAAACATGAGCGGGTGTCAGCTGGGCCCGGTACGGGTAAAACAGAGGCGCTGGCGCAGTAACAGGCTGATGAACCTAATCATTCTCTATTGGGTGATGATTTCTAACAGGCCAACTAACATGCTGACTTTATTATCTCCTCCTCTTCGTTAGTCACAGGATGGTGCAAAGCGTATGAAGATGAATGACAGCAGTGCAGCTTCAGTCGCTGCTCCCTCTGTGATCAACGCGATCAAACCAGGAGGAATCAGAAGGAGCACTCGCCACAGGAAGCTCAGAGGAGAGAAAGCACTCATCGTTTCTGCAAATCAGACACTAAAAGAGCTGAAGATCCAAGTGAGGGCTTCTCCTTACTGAACCTCTTGCTGGATGATTGTCTCTTCTCCATTTTTAACTCTGCCGTTCATGTCACCATAGATCATGCACGCTTTCTCCGTGGCTCCTTTCGACCAGAACCTCTCTATAGACGGAAAAGGTCTGACAGATGATTCGGCCACATTAGGCAGCCTGGGCGTTATCCCAGAATGCATCATCTGTTTAAAGGTTAGCTTTGCTTCGTGACTGCATGCCTGGAACATCTGCAGGTTGTTGTTTATTCATCAGGTTTTCTTTTTTCTCTAAGGCTGATGAACCAGTTACAGACTACGCTGCAATGGATGACGCCTATCAGGGTAGGTGCTGCTGTTTATCATAGTGGGGGGAGGTGACAGAATTGACAGAATCAAAACAGACTTAACTTTGTTTTTGAGTTTAAATGAGAACAAACAGACGGGTGAAGTACATGTCGCTCGCAGCATAAGCAAAATAATTAATTTTGTATTACTGTCTCGACACGCAGTACAGGAATCACATAAGGAGGAGAACAGGGTTCCTGCAGATCCTTCAAAAGTATTAAAAATTCATTCAATATAAAACTAAGGCCTCAGTTGGTATTAAAATGTCTGTCTGTGTTAGAGTACCCATGATGCAGTAGTAAAAGAAAATATTAAAAATGACTTATGACAATGAAGGCGGCGTGAAAAAGTGCTTTCTTGGCGTGTTGCACTCTTTCACCAACATGGTGATCACTAACATGATGGTTGTTCATAATGACGCGCT